GATCCTAAGCCCGAAATCACACAACCACCAGGCTCCGGTGACGCAGTCACGGACATACCCACACGTGACACCGTCACGCACCTACCAAGCTGCCATGATCCTAAGCCCGAAATCACAGACATAACCACATCCCACACTACCACGTGGCTGCGTTGGATTGACCGCAACAAGCACCTATTGCAGGCGTGCACGACGCAGCCGTGGTTTCTGCAATTAAAAGCGGATTGGAAACAATACCTGCGTGAGCACATGGTGGCAGACGCTGCATCCGGTGAGCACAGGACAGCCGCAACCATGGAAAGGAAGAAATTGGACCTGTGGAAAGAATGGGTCGCACAGCAACATCGGCAAATGCGTATGTATGGTGAGGCGCAGTGGTTTCAACATTTGTTGAATACTGTACAGCAGGAGACAGTATCGCAAACACGCGAAATACCTGGAGTTGAAACACACGTAGAAGTGGAAAAAGTACTGGGCACAGAAGATATACTGAGAGTGCGAGATGTACCACGGACGCAACTGCATCCGCAACCTTACATGAAAACAGTGTTAACCGCTAAAACATGGATACTGATCCTGGCATTAGTCATAGAACAGTGCGAGCTGGAACGCAGTTTGCAGGAGAAGGAGTTATATTTGGATGAACTATTGGACAAGCTCTGCAATTAGGATGACGCGGCATATGAATGCGAACTAACGCATGCTAACATTAGACCACTTTTATTTCATTATGTGATATACATAATATATTTCTTGTTTGCACTATTCTATATCTTTTTTTTTTTTTCTGCTCTGTTCTGCTTAATTCTGTTTCTTTGTGCTGCCTTTTGCCCTGTTTTGTTCTTGTTGTGTAGTCCACTTCTTTTAACATGACCATGGGGACACGGTGGTACCGGTTAAATGCATATAAAATGTAGATTTACATGAATAATATGAAGGGGCAGTATTCTCCTTTATGTGAAGTTAATTATTAAAAGCTGCGCACGTGCATTCTAAGGGTATAGTGCAGAACAAATATAGAACGCGAATACGCATTCGCGTATACGGAGCGCTTGTCTCTCCGAGCACACGCGTCGACCAAAGCGGCCGGGTAAACGCGATTGGCCGAGTGTAAGAAAGGAGGAGAGATTGTCGCTCGGAGCAAACGCGCCCCGGGTAAACGGCATTGTCCGAGTGTAAGAACGATTCGACGAAGTAGCCGAATGTAAGAACGGAGGGAGAGATTGTCTCTCCGAGCACACGCGTCGACCAACGCGGCCGCGTGTAACAACGATTCGACGAAGTGGCCGCGTGTAAGCATTGTGCCGAGGGTAAGAACGAGGAGAGATTGTCTCGCTGAGCAAGCGCCGCCGAGCAACGCGGCCGCGTAAACGGATTGCCACCGAGTGAACGTATTTGACGACGTAGCCGAGTGTAAGAACGAGGAGCAGATTGTCTCTCCGAGCAAACGTGGCCGCGTAAACCGCATTGTAGCCGAGTGTACGAAAGGCGGGAGAGATTGTCTCTCCGAGCCACGTGCCCTGGTAAGCCGCATTCGACGCAGTAGCCACGTGTAAGACAGCAGGACCATTGTCTCCGAGCCCACGTGGCTGCGTATAAGACGGATTCGACGAAGTAGCCGAGTGTAAGAAAGGAGGAGAGATTGTCTCTCCGAGCAAACGCGTCGACCCACGTGGCAGAGTGTAACAACGACTCGACCACGGATTGTCTGAGTGTAAGAAGGAGGAGATTGTCTCTGCGAGCACACGCGTCGAGCAACGCGGCCAAGTGCAAGACCGATTCGACGAAGTGGCCGAGTGTAAGAAAGGAAGGAGAGATTGTCTCTCCGAGCAAACGCGTCGAGCAAAGCGGCCGCGTGCACCACGCAGGACCATTGGCTCCGAGCAAACTCCTTGAGCAACGCCGCCGAGTGCACGAAGGACGAGATTGTCTTTCCGAGCAAACGCGGCCGAGTAAGGGGTATTCGAGGAAGTGGCCGAGCGTAAGAAAGGAGGCAGAGATTGTCTCTCCGAGCAAACGCGTCGACCGCCGTAGCCTCGTGTAAGCACGATTCGACGAAGTAGCCGACTGTAAGAAGGAGGAGGATGGTCTCTCCGAGCAAACGTGGCCGCTTGTAAGAAGGATTCGACGAAGTAGCCGAGTGTAACAACGACAGATTTTCCGAGGCAGGATCCCGAAACGGTGGGAACGAAGGAGTACACATATTATGTGCGGGAGCAATCACGTCCGCAACGACGGCAACGACAGCAGAAACGACGGCAGCAACAACGGCAGAAGAAATTGATGTTGTTGTTATACTGCGCTTTGGTGTACACGGGGTTTTGTGTACGCACAGACAGTCTGTGTGAAGGCGTTTAGTGCAGACCGGTGTACAAAGGGGGGGGTGTATATTCATGACGCGTTGCGTGTGTACGGTAGTAGTAGTGTACCTTTTTCTATTTTTGTCTGTCTTTTTTATTTGTCTTTTCTTCCCTGTGCCCTCTATTTGCAATTCCTATGCACATTTTTGGTTTTGGTCCATGCTGCCTTCTATCTTTATGTGCTTTATTTTTTCTGTTTTTATGGAACATTTGATTGCTACTTGCGCAGCAGTGAAGAATAAAAGCAGCATTATCGACTACAAGTGGACGCACGAGCGACTTCATTTAATATAACAAGAATACGAATACTACTAGTCTATACATATTTATAAGGGTGCCGTATATTTCAGTGAATAGTAGTAATATGGCAACGGCAGATTTGGCGCATGCATTGGTGCAATGGGTACTCGCCGCGGGCATTTCCACACAGGAGGACTATGAGGTAGGAACATACAGGCATAGAACTGACGCACGGGGAGTTCCGTGCTAGGGCTTTATTGGTATAAGACACAATGCAGCGCATCGGGGCACATAGCATTCAAGCACACATGCGCATGTATATTTCTTGTGTTTCTTACATTTTAGGCAATGGTGTGGGAGAAGACCAAGGACGTAATGCAGGAATTTGTGCTCTACATGGACACGGCGGAAATAACATCGTATGCAGCGAACTGTGATAACGCCGCATGGGACCACCACAAAAATCCTACAGCGGGTTCGATCTATTTTGGACAAACGGTGGGGGATAAGATTATATGCGTACTTATGGCAGGGGCCTTATTTTTCATGAATGGGTGGACTATTACACAAAGCACTCGATCGACGGAAGATGAAATCAGTGAACGCATACGAGAGCACTTACGATGTGCCATAGTACATATGTTTAGCGCAGTATTAGACGAATCCGTGTGTCCAGGTATGCGGGGAACATTTTATGCATGGAAAACAATGGAAAGAATGGACACTGGGGACGGAGGTTTTCCGGAAGGTTTAATAAAGAGGGGAATATGTGGTAGAGAACTATCTTCGAATTTGCAAATAAGGCAACTTGACTTAAATACAAAAGTCAAACAATGGTTACGGCAAGATAGCAGATTAAAAGGCGTCATACAGAAAATAAAAGGAAATGCATTGTGCACGAAGCGGTGGCAGGACGCATGGAACCTAGAGGACATCCTGGGGAATGGGAATACACAGGATACGCAAGCGTTGCAGATTGCTCCGATAGTCGATGAATTGAAGAAAGGAATCAACGACCTACTTACGGAACTCGGAAAAAAGGTAGACCAGGACGTAAAAAACCGGCAACAGGCGAAGAAGGGGAACATAGGTACGGCAGGCGAGGTTTGGGCAGAATGAGACAGCTTCAAACGCAACAGGCAGGATAAGTACACAGAACACAACTACAGACAGTTTCGCAGTACAAGGGAAAGTGCAACACGACACAAGATGCAGTTATGTGAACAACGTTCATTCCTGTGTCCTTGCAACAACACAAAAAGTACATACTGGCACTGCTAATTCCCATTTTTGCCCTTTATTGCAGCGAAGGATGACCAAAACGGGGACGCCGACACGACGGCTACTGTGCCGGCTGCAACAACAGGATCGACAGGTAAGGACCGATGGGGACAAAGCACGAATACGGCACGCACACCAACACGGCTCGCCACGGCCGGCCCGCATGACCCGTACGCCTCGATACAACCGCGCATGGATGCCGCCATCACAACAACACGCACACGCGCGAACGACGTGTAGACGAGATGACGGAGCGGGACGGCGGACGCGATGACGGCGACAAATAAAAGTGTACTGCTGCCATCTAGCCCAAGTTCACAGAGTACGCAGTCCACCTTACCGTACGCTTGCTACCGCCTGACGCAGGCCACTGAGTCTTACCCCGACCCACTGCATCGACCCACTGCATCGACCCACTGCATCGACGCATGCAGCGAGCCGGACCCTACACTGCCGGTACCTGACCGAACCGTCCCGGCCCTTTCTTTCTGTACCACTTTGTGTCCCTTTTTTGTATCATTTTGTCGTTGTACTTCCTTCTTCCTTTGCAGCGCTGGAGGCGACAAACCCGAAACCTCCACCGACATCGCAACCATCAGAGAACACGCCAGTGACCCCACCGCCACCACCACCTCCGTCACCACCACAACAGGACGGATCAGCGACAGCGGGAGATGGTCCGAAGGTGCAACCGAACGGGACGCATATAGACAAAGCAGGTAAGTGTGGAAGTAAACCCACAGTTTCCGTGACCCAGAATGCAGGCAGCGGAATCTATGCTTCTTCGTCAGAGACACTTGTCTCCTTTGGAACGAGTGCCGGCACAGATGATGAATGTGGGACGAAACCCGAAGACCCACAGGAAGGTAGTGTCCTGAGTGAATTTCGACAACAAAAACACAGAGAACACAAAAGAAACAACACACACCTCTTCCGCAGACAGCGGGAGAGACACCACGGAGCGAGAGAAACCAAACGTCGAATGAGAATGAAAGCGGCAGAGCCATGGGTCGGCCGCTGGATGTAGACGTCGACGTCGACACAGACAGACACACACACACTGTGTGTGTGTGTGTGTTGTGTGGGAGAGACAGAGTCTTTTCCCGGGGTGGCACCTGCCAACCACCGTTCGCACCGTGGCCAACCATGAGCGATGGACCATGGTGCCGACCGTATACACGACCGAGCATGGCGAAACCATCAGCGCCGGTATATGTGGTCAAGCAACAACGACGGACCGTGGCTAACCGTCAACCGTGGCCAGCTACCGCACAAAACTTCAGTTTCATCATGTTGACTTTTCTGCATGTCCATTCAGGCAAGGAGAAATCGGACGGCTCATCAACGCCGACAGAGCTGGATCCCAAGTCCTCCGTAGCAGCAGAGCCTGCCGCAGAAGTACCAACAAAACCAGAAGTGTCAAAAGTAACACCAGGATCAGAAGGAGCAACAGGGGTCACATCAACAGAAGTGAGTGCGCAACCGCAAGGAAAGGCAGGACCGGAGGGGGGAGAAGGAACACCTGCAGCATCAGCCCCAAAGACGGGGTCGTCCGACGACACTATAACTCCGCCCAAAGATTCCACCAGTAATGACAAAACTCAGGGTTGCGAACATCCCGCGTCTGCTGCTGGTCCAGATCCAGGTGTTGCCGTCATCGATGGCGGCAACGATGACCCACCTCCTCTCAATCCACCCAAACCAAAACCGAACCCAAACCCCGATCAAGCGGGGAGCAGTGGTGGCGAAGGAAAAGGAGGTGGTGATGTAGGTGGCACTCAACTTGTCACCCCTTCCGTTCGGCCTGGTGTTACATGGGAAGATATCAAGTCCTACACCCCCGAAATAATTCCAGCGGTGGTTGGTATTGGGATAATTGCGTTCTTCCTCTGGAAGGTAAGTATATATGCCAATCACGGAATCCCGCACGTGCAGGATGTTTATACCGCAGAACATCCCACCCGGCTCCAATATATGATCGTTCTAACACAAATGTACTCCTACACCCGCGTTCATTCCTTTTATCCTACCGTCCTCACCCTCCTATTTACCCCCTTTTTCTGCTCAGTATTTTGCGTACCTCGCCCAACGACGACGAAAGTTTCGCACCGTTCGTGACGTGCCGTCACCGGGACTGGACGAAGAAATATTGCACCATCTACAACGCGGCGCACCACCACCCGATTACGGCTACACGATGGTTAGGGATAGGCGGCCTGCATCTGCTGCCGATCGACGACGACGACGTAATCCACGCGTGCATAAGCGCACCATCATCGAGCTACATCTACAAGTGCTCAACGAATGTGCAGCGACCGCGTGGGAAAACGTCAAAGACGACTATTGGCAGATTGTCGTGCAGCAGTTTGCGCAGGACTTTGCGCAGGATTTGATGCGGGCAGATGACACGTATAACAATATCTTCGGTGTTTCTACGTCAGACTATGGTTCTCCAGGGACCAATGTTTCATCCGCCTTGGATCCATCCACTGACATCGAACGAACGGATGAATGCGCATTGAATGACCCCGATCCATGGAGTTGCATGGAAACCATACAGTTAGCAACGGACCCTTGTCCACCGCATGATTCCGATCCTTGGAGTTGTATGGAAACCATACAATTACAAACGCACCCTTGTCGACCTACGGAAGACAACCCAGATCCCTGGAGGTGTGTGGAAAACATACAGTTAGCAACGGACCGTGCTGCGCCTAACGAAGAGGACCGATGGAATTGTATGGAAACTATACAGTTAGAACAAGAAAGGCCTCATTCGCCCCCTCTCCCCTCTTCCGTCCCCGGGAATGAAAACCGGGCCCCCGACCACACTAATTGGATCCCGTGGATTGACCGCAACAAGCACCTATTGCAGGCGTGCACGACGCAGCCGTGGTTCCATGCCCTCAAAGCGGAATGGAAACAATATTATCAACAACATGCGCAAAACGCCGCATCCAGTGAGCACAGGAAAGCCGCAACCATGGAACGGAAGAAATTGGATGCATGGAAAGAATGGGTTGCAAAACAACATGACCTTATGAATACATATAGTGAGGAGGAGTGGTTTCAACGTTTGTTGCATAATGTTGAGGCGGACACAGTACGGGGAAAAGGCGAAGTACCTGGAGTGGGAAAGGACTTACACGTCGAAACACTACTGGGAACAGAAGATATACTGAGAGTGCGAGATGTTCCACGCACGCAGCCAATGCATCCGCAACCTTACATGAAACAACCGTTAACCGCTAAAACATGGATACTGATCCTGGCCTTCATCCTTGCGGAGTGCGAGGTCGAATGTCGTTTGCAGCATACGGAGTTATATGTGGATGAACTACTGGACCAGCTCTGACATTCGCATGACGGGGCATATGAATGTGACATAACGCATGCTAATCGTACAAAACTTTTACTTCATTATGTGATATACATAATGTATTTCTTGTTTGCACTATTCCATACCTTCTTTTTTTTTTTTCTGCTCTGTTCTGCTTGTGCTTACTTTTGCCTTTTGTTGTTCTTTTTCTGTGTACTCCACTTCTTTTAACATGACCATAGGACCAGGTGGGTACCGGTTAAATGCATATAAAATGTAGACTCCACTGAATAATATGAACGGGTAGTATTCTACTTTATGTGAAGTTAATTATTACAAGCTGCGCACGTGCATTCTAATGGTGTAGTGCAGCACACATACAGAACGCGCATACGCATTCGAGTATAAGGACAGCTTGTCTCTCCGAGCAAACGCGTCGACCAAAGCGGCCGGGTAAACGGGATTGTCTCCGAGTGTAAGCAGGAGGAGAGATTGTCTCTCCGATCAAACGCGGCCGAGGTAAGAAGGACCAGGATTGTTTCAGAGCAAGCCTCATTCGACGACGTAGCCGAGTGCAAGAAGGAGCAGGATTGTCTCTCCGAGCAAACGCGTCGACCAACGCGGCCAAGTGTAACAACGATTCGACGAAGTACCAAAGCGTAAGAAGGCGGAGAGATTGTCTCTCCGAGCGACGTGGCTTGGTAAGCAGCATTCGCCGCAGTAGTCGCGTGTAAGAAGGAGGACCATTGTCTCCGAGCAAACGTGGCCGAGTAAAGGGATTAGACGAAGGATTGTCCGAGTGACGAGGTCCGAGGAAGTAGCCGAGTGTAACAAGGAGGAGAGATTGTCTCTCCGAGCAAGCGCGACGACCAAAGCGGCCGCGTGCACGCAGCAGCACCATTGTCTCCGCGCCCCTGCGGCCACGTGTAACACCGATTCGACGAAGTAGCCGAATAAGGGGTTCGAGGGAAGGATTTCCATTGAGGGATTCAGTGAGGGAGCTGAGAGAGAGCGGGGGACGGGGAGGAAGAAGCACACATATTATGTGTGGGAGGGAAGAACGAGGCACGGACGGCGGAAGGCAGCAAGGACTAATTGATGTTGTTACTGCGGTTTTAGTGTAGGAAGTAGATATTTGTTGTTACGGGGGGTATTGTCGTTAATAAGGGTTTTTGTTGTTAAGCGGGATATTTGTGGTTTAGGCGGGTATTTTTTGTTAATGGGTAATGAGATTACGTGTGCTGTTCCTAAGAGTACTATTGTTGAGGGGGTATTTGGGTTCAGGATTTTAGTGGGGGAAAACTATTTTGAGTATGCAGGAGTAGATGTTTCTGTGGGAAGCATATTATTCCGCACGATACTGTTCACTTAATGTGGACTTTGCATAAGTATCGACGACAGTGGTATGTTATATAAGAAAGATAAAAGTGAGGGAGCCATGTGGGATTATTTGTTAGTACTGTGGGACGATTTCATAGAAAGGGAGCAGTTTGGGATAAAGGACCAGGAGGACATTGTGAGAATTGGGGTAGGTTGATACATATGGAAGAGTGGAAGCAAAGTAAGAGTCGTGTTGTGATAGTATATTAGGACAAAAGTGCAGGGTGCATTAGAGGGTTGTGCGAGCTCATAGTGTCCGTTACTATGAATGTTACGGTAAAGAGCAAATATATTTATGAGTGAAGGTGCATAATAGTGTGCACAATTACATAAGGATAAGAAATAGGAAAAAGACATATAGTTCATATGAGAATATATGATGAAAATTATATTTATAGGAAAATTTATGGGGAAGTGTTAACAAAGTATGGCAGGAGTTTATGCACCATATGGAGCAGAGGGTGAACGACGGAGTAATAAAAGGAATATGTGGAGAAGCACATGACCAGGACAATGGTCAAGCGCTAGATTCGCGGCAGAGGGATATATGCGAGTTGACACTTATAGCATTGTCCTTTAAACATGGAATTAAATTGGGCGCGTCCGGTGAGAACCCAGAGAGTGCGAAAACTGGGGAGGACGGCATAATGCAATATATGAAATGTATTTTAGTGAATATATTTATGAAAAGAATATTAGGTAAAACATGTGTGGACACAGATGGTGGAAAAAATGCATTTAATGCTGCAAAGGGCTTGATGACTGCGCAATCGGGAACACCGCGCAATACTACATGTGAGGGCAAGGATTTAATTTCGGGTGACAAGAGCAAGAGGCCGGAAGATTGGACATTGTTGGAAATAATGGGCAGGTGGTTTGATAGGCATACGAAAGGATTGAAGGACGGTAATGTAGGAGCATTAGGGGAAGGTTGCATGGTAGAAAAAAAAGAAACACATGGAGGAAGGGAGGAAAACCTGGGTGACTTGAAAGAGACAGTAAAAAAACAAATGGAAGAGGTTGGGGACGATATTGCGAAGAAGATAGAGAGAATATTACCGAAGGTAAAAACATGTACATCTAAAGAATGTGTGAAGAGTGCAATAGAACAAGAGAAGCAGAAGGACTCCCTTCCGAAAGCTCCCAAAGGTAAAGGAGACCAACAGTCGGGACCACCGCGGACGTCACAGGGCACACAGGCATCATCAACACCAGGCGGGTCAGATAAAAAGGAAGGATTGCTTCCTCCCCAGAAAGAAGCAGAAGCAGAAGCACCATCATCGCCGAAACTGGTAGATGCAGCACCGGAAGGAAGATCAGAGGACCATGGAAAACCACCACTACCACCTCCAGCACCGCCGCCAGCGCAAACCACATCAGATGGAGACACAGGACCAGCAGGAGCAGTAGGAGGACCCGATGCACCGGAACCAACATCGCGGACACCAGCGGGGGAAGCACCGAAGGTGGAACCCGCAGATTCAATAACACATGGTTCAGGACAAAAACCAGAAGGACCTACACTGGGAGCAGAACCCTCATCACAACCAGCATCAGCAATAAAAGAAAGTGAAACCAAGAATACTCAGGACAAAGCATCAGTCGATGGAATTCCTACAGTTGGTTTACCATCCTCTGGTGAGGCCGCTTCCCCAAAGGAACATCTAGGTAACAATGTGTTCCATGTGCATCTAAGTTGTTGCCTAGTCTAACTCTCAAAAACCCATGACTAGAGCGAGATGCAACAGTACACATAAAGTGCATGTATATCCATACAAATGTTCAGGACAAGCAGGTTCCGCAGCAGGTTCCACGTCTACGGACACTAGTAACACTGTGGAGAACCATGAACAGGCTGAAGCATCCGGCCCCCCAATTGCCGCCGACGGGGAGAACAGCCCAAATGACAGCACCCAGGATAGTGTATCAAAACCGGGGGCACAGCATAACAGGGACAATCAGGAAGATACTGTAAGTCAAGGTTCTGGTAGTCAGAATGGTCAGCGTGATCCAGACGCCGTACATGTAAAAGGTGCTAAGGACCATGCGCGCGAAGCTGGTCCTACTTCTCCTAAAGATAATACTGAGGAAGATACTGGTCAGGCCACGGCAACAACTGTCAGGGTCACCCACACTGATGGCCCAGATGGTAATAACAGCCATGCAGGAGCTTCCTGCACCGCGGACTCCAGTTCAAGTTCCAGCTCCAGCAGTGGTGGACAGGCTCAAAATAACTCACCAGTACCAACACACGTTCAGTCGGCCGGAACACAACTTACCTCCTCACCATCCATTGATCAAACCACTGTTCCAGTAGGACAGGGCACACCAGCTACCCTACCTGATACATCCAGTGGAAAAGCTAATGAAGCAGGTAAAGCACCCACCTTAAGAGATAGAGCATCCAGTTCAGGAGGCAGTACCCTCCGTGAGCAACAACCTACCGCGTGGTCCCCTGAACCCTTCGACCCCAAGGATCTCATCCCCTACACCCCCGCGATCATCCCCGCGGCGGTTGGTATTGGCATCATTGCCTTTTTCCTCTGGAAGGTAAATATATACGGCAATCAGGGAATGCCGCGCGTGCAGGATGTTTATACCGCAGAACATCCCGACGGGCACCAATATATGATCGTTCTAAACAATATGCCCCTACACCCGCGTTCATTCCTTTTATCCTACCGTCCTCACCCTCCTCTTTACCCCCCTTTTTCTGTTTAGTACTTTGCCTTCCTCGGAAAAAAACGACGACGAACGTATCGAACCGTTCGTGACGTGCCGTCACCGCCACTCGACGAAGAAATATTGGAGCATTTACAACGCGGCGCGCCGCCAGCCGATTACGGGTACACGATGGTTAGGGATACGCAACCTTCGTCAATATCCGGTAGAGGACGCCCACCACGCGTGCATACACGCACGATCATCGAGCTACATCTAGAAGTGCTCAACGAATGTGAAGCCACCGAGTGGGAAAACGTCAAAGAGGACTATTGGAAGCTGGTCGTGCAGGAGTTTGCGCGTGACTTGGAGCAGGAAGGGGACACGAATAACAATACCTTGGGTGTTTCTACCTCGCACGCCGCTTTAGCAACCCACGATGCAACAACCGACCATTCCACAACCCAAGGCCGCCTAACGCGTGATCCCACCGCAACGGATGTATGTCCACCGCATGACTGCGATTCATGGAGTTGTATGGAACATATCGACTTCGATGCAGAACAGCATGCTCATTCCAGCCACAGGCAGGCGAACTCAGCCCACGATTGGCATACCCATTGGATCCCTTGGATTGACCGCAACAAACATATTATGCGCGAGTTCACGACGCAGCCGTGGTTTAATTCCCTCAAATCGGAATGGAAACAATATTATCAACAACATGCCTCAAGCGCAATGTCCTGGCAGAGCGAACTCGGTGAAGCGGCCACCGTGAAGATGATGAAACTGCGGTTGTGGAAAGAATGGGTTGCGCAACAACATCGGCAAATGCGTATGTATAACGCGGAGGAGTGGTTCCAACATTTGTTGCATACTGTACAGGAGGAGACAGTGTCGGACAACGGCGCCGTACCACGAGTAGAAAAACACTTAGAAGTGGAACAAGTAATGGCAGCAGAACATATGCTACGAGTGACAGCTATACCATGCACCCAACCACTGCATCCGCAACCTTACATGAAACAACGGTTAACCGCTAACACATGGATACTGATCCTGGCATTAGTCATAGAACAGTGCGAAGTCGAACGCAGTTTGCAGGAGAAGGAGTTATATGTGGATGATCTATTGGAGCACCTGTGACATTAGGATGACGGGGCATATGAATGCGACATAACGCATGCTGCCCGTACACCCCTTTTACTTCATTATGTGATATACATAATATATTTGGTGTTTGTACTATTCTATACGTTTTTTTTTTTTCTGCTCTCTTCTGCTTACTTCTGGTTCTTTGTGCTTTGTTTTGTTCTTTTTCTGTGTAGTCAACTTCTTTTAACATGACCATGGGGACAGGGTGGTACAGGTCAAATGCATATAAAATGTACATTAACATGAATAATATGAACGCGTCGTATTCTCCTTTATGTGAAGTTAATTATTAAAAGCTGAGCAAGTGCATTCTACGGGTATAGTGCAGAACAAATATAGAATGCGCATACGTATTCGAGTATAAGGAGATTGTCTCTCCGCGCAAACGCGTCGACCAACGCGGCCGCGTAAACGGGATTGTCCGAGTAATGCGACCGAGTGTAAGAAGGAGGACGATTGTCTCTCCGAGCAAACGTGGCCCGGGTAAAGTACATTGTCGACGCGGTAGCCGAGTGTAGGAAGGATTCGACGAAGTAGCCGCGTAAGGGCTTCGAGGGAAGGATTCGAGTGAAGCATTCAGACAAGGGGAGCATAGCGTGCGGGGGCGGAGAGCGAAGGAACACACATATTATGTGCGGGAGGCAGAACGAGGGAAGGACGGCAGCAAGGACGGTAGAAACGACGGCAGCAACGACGGCACGAAGAATTGATGTTGTTATACTGCGGTTTTTTTGTGTACACACGGGGTATTTGTTGTTACGGCGGGGTATTTGTTGTTAGGGGGGGTATTTTGTGTTAAGTGGCGTTTTTGTTAATGATTTTAATGCACACGAAGCATAATATTCTGGGTACGTAGGAGTATAAGTTTCTATTAGAGGAATATGATTACGAAGTACAATGTTCAATTAATGTGGACTTTGAATAAGTATCGAGCAGAGTGTCATCCTATATAAGAAGGACCACAAGGGAGGAAGCCATGTGGAAGTATTTGAAAGTACTATGGGAGGATTATATTGAGACGGGGAATACGGGGGTGAAGCAGGATGACGATATATTTAAGGTAGGTCCGTGCGTCTAAGGGAATGAGAGCACACTGGAGTGGTGTTATACAGATATGTTAGAATACTCTTAGGCACTGCCCTGGAGACGGGGTGCGTACCCTATGATTATTTGCCCCTTATATATTTTATAAGGACGCAAATATATATGGGTGCAGCGTGCTTAATTATGTATATAATAATATACAGCGGGGGTACAGGAGTATTGTTTATAGGGAACCATGGAACACATACTATACTTATAGGAACCTTTTTGGAATAGCATAGGGGAAGTATGGGGGACATTTAAGGATTATATGGAGAGCGAGCATGATGATTCCATGATACAGACATTGTGTGGTGCATACGACGATGACGAGGAGCAAGGGCAGAGGTTGGATGCGAAGAATATAGCTATATGTCACTTAACACTTAAAGCATTATGTTTTAAACATGGAATTAAATTGGGCGCGTCCGGTGAGAACCCCGAGACTGTGAACACTGGGGCAGATGGCATAATGCCATATATGAAATGTATACTGACAAATATATTCATGAAGAGAATACTTGGACGGAAATGTGTAGAAGCGGCTGGTGGCAAACAGGCATTTAGGGCTGCGCAGGCCTTGATGACTGCGCAATCCGCCACACCGCGCAATACTACATGTGAGGGCAAGGATTTACAGTCGGGTGACAGCAGCCAGAATCCGGACACTTGGACATTGATGGAAATAATGGGAAGGTGGTTTGATAGGAATACGACAGGATTGAAGGACGGTAATGTAGGAGCATTAGGGGAAGGTTGCATGGTAGCAAGAGAAAAGACAAATGGACGAAAGGACGACCAGTTGGGTGAATTGAAAGAGAAGGTAAGAAAACAAATGGAAGAGGTTGGCCAGGATATGGCGATGAAGATAGCGACAATATTACCGCAGGTAAAAACGTGTACAACTACAGAATGTGTGAAGAGTATAATAGAACAAGAGAAGCAAAAGGATTCTGTTTCCACAGCTCCCAAAGGTAAAGGAGACGGACAGTCGGGACCACCGCCCGGCAAACCCGCCCCAGCAAAACCAGCACCACCACCCGTGACGGGAGCCGGCGAACAGCCGCACAAACCTGCCCCGGCCAAACCAGCACCTGTCAAACCAGTAGCGGCGACACCGGGACCCGCGGTGACACCGGGGGCGACGGCATCATCTGGTGGTGGTGGTAAGGCTGGTAAGGGTGCTGCCGGAGGAGGGAAGGAGAACGGGAAGACCGTGAAGGCTGCAAAAGGAGATAATTGTGAATGGATGAGCATACAGCAAGACAAGACAAGGCACGTACACGTGCTGCGTACATATAGTGTAAGTTAAAGTAAAAGCACCAAAAACAACGCCAGAGACAGAAAGAGAGATAACAGATGGAGCGAGAATTGATGCAGCAGGTATACAAATATATGTGAGCGTGTGAATGATACGCACGGGTGGACTATAGGTAAAGTGTAAACATAGACATTCCTTTATGTTCATGCGCATAATACAGACACAAGAACTGCAACAATTGCACACCGTGTTGGGTGCATTTGCACAACATATGCAGACGCACGAGCAGCTCGTGGATGCATACGGTGCAAATTGTGATAATTCTGGTTGGAATGATTTCGACGACGCCAAAACGCACCATACGGGGCAAACGGTGGCGGATATGATCAGATGCAGACTTATGAGTTCTGCACTGTGGTTTGCGAACAAAGAGGACCCGGACAAGCAGGGTCAGGATGAAATGGCCAATAGGTTCCGGTGTGAAGTAGCCAATGTATTTGGGTACATGCTGAAGAATCAGTATTGTAAAAAGGAAGGATGGAAGAGGGGTGTAGAATATGCCTGGAAAGCACTGCAAGAGATGGGCAAGGACGTAGATGGGAAGAAGGGGCTCACGGGTCCTGTTATGGCTGGCAGATGCACACAATGTGGTTACGTAGGTAGTATGACGAAGCTGGGCATAATAAATGGAGACATCGCACAGTGGTTAGTAGACCAAGGAATAATGAGAGAAATAGCACAGATACAGCAACAGATGCCATGTCATAAAGATTGGAAGAAGTATAAAAAGGAGAAGGGTGGTACTGATAATAAGGTTATAGAAAACGACAAAATACCGGAAGTGACGGCAATAGAGAAAAAAGTGGTAGAAGAGACGGAGAAGGTAATTGAGAAAGTAAAGGACAAAATAGACCAAGAAATTGCAAACGGTAAGGCTCAGAGTACCCATGGTAAGAATACGACTCGTACAAATACGAATACGCACACACGGCTCGCTAAGCATAAGCGGCCCATACGACTGCGCACGCATGCCGGCGCCACAAATGCAACGGCCACAACAACACCCACACGCGGCGGGAACTGCACAGCACTGAGCGGCGGTTGACGCCGACGCGTGTAAACGAGGTGCGGACTAGCGTACCGTGCAGCGCACCTGCGTCACAGTGGTGTGACAGTGGTGCGACGGCACAGGGGGCGACCGATGTAGCGGCACCAGATGACGGCGAAAACATAAAAGTGTACTGCTACCATCCACCTCACCGTACGCGTGCGGTCGCCTGACCCCGTTCACCGAATACGCAGTCCACCGAGTTCACCTCACTGTGCGCTTGCGGTCGCCTGACCCAGTCCACCGAGTACGCAGTCCATCGAGTCGACCCGACCGTACCACACCACACCGTCCCGGCCCACTTCTTTCTGTACCACTTGTGTCGCTTTTTTATCGCCTGTTCGTCTTCCTTTCTTCCATCCCTCATTACAGGAACGAAACCGGTAGCTGGAGGAGGAGGAGACCAGAAAGGGGAGAAGCCGTCGGCACCATCAGCAGCAGGCACATCAGGAACAGGAACATCTTCCGGACAACCACGATCAGATTCCTCGGCTGGGGAAGGACAGCCGGCCGCAGGAGGAACAGCCGGGGAAGGACCAGGTCAGGGACCAGGACCTGGACAACAACCCCCACCACCACCACCGAACAACGAACCATCGGGAAAGGGACCAACGGAGGAGACGACACAACAGTCGTCAACGGACACTCAAGGTGAGGACGAGTGCCAGGACGATAACTCCGATACGAAAGCATCCGGTATAGAGACGCATGCGAACTCGCTTGTCACTGTTGCAAGGGGTACGCACACATACGAAGGCCAGCAGCCTTCATGCGCCACGCTCAAGGCGCTGGAAGACAACCAGCACGCTGCCACTAGTCCTAACCCAAGTTCAGGGACAGGTGAATCTAGGAGTTTGCACGCACCACATATGCACTAATAAAACGACTGAAAGAAAAAAAAGAAACAACTTTTCCGGAGAGACAGGGAGAGACACCACGGAGAGAGAGAAACCAAACGTCGAATGAGAGTGAGCGGGACGCAGAGCGGTAGAGTGATGGGTCGGCCGCGGGATGTAGACGTAGCCACGTAGACGTCGATGTAGACGTCGACGCTGACAGGCACACACACTGTGTGTGTGTTGTGTGGGTGGGAGAGAGAGAGAGTCTTTTCCCGGGGTGGCACCTGCCCCGTGCAATGCCCTGACCCCCGTCCGTCTCCCCGCCGTCCCCGTGGCACCGCCCGACCGGCTGTCAACCCTGAAACAAGGCGACCGATCATCCATTGTACCGTGTGGGCAACCATGAGCGAATGTAGCGTGGGCATGCGGCAACCATGGGCAGACAACCATGACCATCGAGCAAAACATTCGTTTCATCATACTCCCTCTTCCACATCAATTTGCAGGCGAGGGCAAGAAAACAGATGCAACGGACGCTGATGGCAAGGAACTACCAACAGTAGACACTGCAGGCTCGGAACCACATGGAGCTCCTGCGCAGGATAATACAAGTGTGCAGGATGGTACCAGCAAGCCTGCAAACGGTGGTGCCAGTACATCGTACGCAAACGTCCAAGCTGGTAACATATACGGGGACATTTTCATTGGGGCCAGTATAATTCCTGAGTCTGAACGCCAGGGTTCCAGTGTGCCCCACCATGGTAGAGCTCCAGGTAACAGCGTAGTAGATGCGGGCAATGATGACCCCCCTCCTCTCAATCCACCCAAACCAAAACCGAACCCGAATCCAGATCAAACCGGTTCGAGCGGCACACCCACTGAAACAAGAACTCCTGCAGATGGTGTTTCTGGTGGGGAAGGAAAGGGAGGTGGTGGAGGAGGTTCCCCATCCTCAGGACCTGGTTCCACTGGTCACCAAAACCCTGGTTCCTCTGGTACTGGTACTGGTAGTACAGGAGGAGAGGGAACTGGCGATTTCTGCAAGGTCGATGCGAAAAACAGTAAGGGGGATGGGACATGTGCGAAAGAGAGTTCCTCAAGCAATAGTTCCTCGACTAGTCCCCCAGATCCTTTCTCTGACTGTAGCACCAAGGACTGTAAATTCGGCCTTGACCCAGATGTTGGCCTGAACATAAAGGACGCAGCCGGGGGATTTATGCCACCGATTCCAGCAGATGGAACACTCAGTTCATCGGGCGATAACCAAGGTGGGAAGGATGATGGTTACGCTGTCCCTGACCTAACCGCCGACGTCCTTACCGCCACTACTCCCGTACTCTTCTTCCTGTCCGCCGTCATCGTCGCCCTCCTTGGTTATTCCCTTTGGAAAGTAAGCGAAAGCACACAGTTACGCACAAGCACGCACAAATATAACCGAGTGGAAATGCACATTCGTTTCACTGCTGCACTATTCCCAAAAGGAACTATAACCAACTTTACACCATTTGGAAGTTACTCTCAAACAAACAAAAAAAAAGCGATACTAATTTTAAAAAAAAAAAAAAAAAAAAACTACTCCTGACATGTGTCGTCAATGCCGCTATATTGTAGAATGGAGGTAACAAAGGTGGGGCTTCTGCTATACATTATGAGTTACTTGGGTACACAGAGGGCAAGGTAAATGCATGTATGATGGTATACAGTAATGGAGTAATATATATGTACTCCTGTAATTAAAATGGATTATTATTTTTCTAAAAAAAAAAAAAAAAAAAAAAAAAAACGCCCTAAAATCATAAGGCTCGTAAGTCTGTTAACCTCCGAGCCTCAAACCCTGAATCCGCTACCCAGAATCCTAAATCCCGATTCATGAACATTACAATCCTAAAACAGTAAGCCTTGTATGCCAAATCTTAAATTCGTATTCCGCAACCGCGTAAAACATGGAACCTTACCATGCGGAAACGCTACAATAATCAAACCTTACTATCCCGGAAATCATACAATCCTGAAATTTTACAATCCTGAAACATCACAATCATGGAGCCTTAGAATCCGGAACCCTTACAACCCTGAATTTTCACAATCCTGAACCGCGCAATCATGGAACCTCGTAATCCGGAAACATTAAACACGAAATCCTAAGCCTTAAATCCTAAGGCCCCTAACCCCCAAAATACAAAATCTCCCTACAGTTATCTTTTATTTTGTATTCAAATTCCTTACACTCATCATTAAATCCATTCACACTTTGCCAAAAGGATGATACAGATGCGAGTATACGCATAAGAACGTTGTGAAACTATATTTCTGCATTTATTATTTATCACTACGCGTAATAAATCTGAGAACGATATAAATGACTACCCCCATAAATAATAAACGGCCACGACAGATGTATAATTATGCGAATACGTTATAATAGTAACCCCCCTAAATACTGACACAATGGAACTTTGAGCCCGCGGCTCTACACCCCAAAAGAAAAAACCTGTTTCGCCGTTCTTGTATGTAAAACGAGCTATAATTGATTCTATTCTGCTTATTGTCGTCACCGTTATATCCAGTTTAAAAGGATAAGATGCTACTTCACATGTAGAATTGCATCACTCGGATTATACAATTTGGCCCCATTACACGGTTCAAACGGCGACATGATTGATGAGCCCGTATGAGATTCGTGAAAAATGTTGACCCCTTTAAGTAATGTTGTATCATATAATATGTACCAAAAATGGTTTCTTCCCTTTTCTTCCCTACTTCGTTCTTCCCTTATATTAGGGTACACGTGAATTATTTATTCAAATCATATTTATATATTTAGGTAAGAATAGTAAATCATGTACAAAACTGATTTTATCAATGTTCACCTTTAGCCAATGAAAAGAAGTGTTACACGAATAATCTATACACCTACATGTGGAAAAACAGAAAACAATTCTGTAACTCATACATATATAAACAATATATCGCCACTTCTAACATTTTCTACACTAAACGGAAAAGAAAAAAAAACAATGACGCTGCTTGTGAAACTCTCTATGTTTACTCTATTCCTCTGCTTATGCCAAATTGTTCACTGTGTATGGAACAAACACCTGTATTTTGGGGAGTTACCACATTTATTGTGATAAGCTCTTATCTTTTTCATAACAATTATAAATCTGCCGCCTTTCCACTTATTTTCACGCTCTACATCCTTGTACACATACACCACAACAAACCCATGTATTCCCCCTTTTTATTCTACATTTTAGGCAAGTACACTAGGTACATCATCGGCTAATGTCACAAGCCAATTTGACACGGTAGATGCAACTAGAGTTGGATCGACTACCGTGACATTGAGTGATGGAACTGATGTGGGTAAACGGGGTCAACGTAATTTTTACGATGGTCAATCTACGGGTGCCCCGAAGAATAGGTTGTTCGATAGCATGTGTAAGAATTTAAAACCCGGGGCCCCACTAAAGAAGCCACAGCACAAGAACAAGACAGCGCCCGATATAACTGCACGGAATAGTTGTAGAAGAGGTTTGAAGAAGTTGACACGTTGTAAAATGGGGAGAAGAGCATGGTTGGGGCTTGTAGTAGTGTCCACAGTCCTGTATTCATCCTTTATTTCCATTATGCCACATGTCATGTCAATAATTATGCAGGAGGGACAAATTCTCAATTTATCGTTTTGGATGGGCTTGTATGGAGGTCCCATACTGATTACAGTCATCTATTCCTGCGTGCTACTATGTTTCTGCTGCTCGAAGACGGGGAAATGTTTACTGGATAAAATTTGGAAGAAGAAGAAGAAGAAGGAAGCTCCCACAGAAACAGACAACAACATAGGAGTGAATAAGGAATCGAATAAGACGTAATTACTCCGTGATTTACTGCATATTGAACAATAATATATTTTTTGCATACCTATTAGATTGACCTTTGCCATGATGTTGTATGTTCGCCTCTATGATGTGACTTATTTTTCCTTTATAGCATGTATCCTATATTTTTGCGATTTCTACATTATAATTTTTGTTCGTACATGTTTCCGAATATACATAGTTGTTCGTGTGTATGTTGTACTGTTTGTGCACATTATCAGTTATTTATTTTTGTTGTGGCTAGGCTACACATTTAAAAAAAAACAAAAAAAAGAAGAAGAAGTCTTTCTATATGTAACATATATATATATATATATATATATATATATAGAGAGAGAGAGAGAGAGAGAGAGACAGAGAGAGAACAATTATTTCATATCCTGCACGTAACAAACATTACCTAATGATTATGAGGCATACATTATATAAAGGGTGTTTTTATAGTATGTAGGAAGTTCATTCCCTCTGTGTCTCCCTGTCCTTTGGTTTTTCTCTTTCGAACTTTGCAACAATTCTGGCGCTGCATTAACATCCCCCCTTTTGTTGGAACTATAGTTATGTACACGATAATAACAACATACCTTATGTAGAATATAGCATAAACGGATATAGGGATGCATGGGCCGTTACAGCGGCACGCACTAGGATAGCACCCTGAATGGGGAGAGCGCAGACACCCTTGTTTCTTTTAACTTCAAAGCTTGTGCAAGAGTTCATCCACATATAATCCCCGTATATCCATAAATTCCGTACACTCTACATGTCACACTCGTCTACACAGTGACCGACGCGCACACACACACCTCGTCTACACTCGTCTACACTCACGTCGCCGCTACCGCTACCGCTCCCGTCGTGGCCACTCATCTCCGGCCGCTCCGCAACCGCGACCACTGCCGTCGTCGCCGCGTGTGCGTGTTGTTCGTCGCGTTGTGGTGGCGGCATCCATATTGGGCAGTGCGTCCGTATATTCGTATTTTTACGAGTCGTATGCTTATGATTCGTGTCCTTACCTTTCTTGTCCTCGTTGCTTTTGTCCGTCTTCTTGTCTGCGTGTCCGCCTCCTGCATCTAGGGGTATGGCCGCTACTGGGTTTTTGCGCTCGTTGCCGAATGATGTTGGTGCTGTAGGGTCGGGTTTGTTGGTGGCAGGGTCCACAGACGGTGAAGCAATTACAGGGGGGGCTTTCCCGGATCCTGTACCGTTCTCGCCGATTCCACTCCGCACGCCAAGTTGTTGTTCAACCTGCCGTATCTTTTTTAATATATCAGCCAATACTCCAACCTGTTCCTTCTATTGTTCTAATTCCTTCAGCATCTGCTTCTTCTTCTCCGTTTCCATATCTACCCCTTCTTTCACTAACTCTCTTATTACGATGTTATCCTCCTCCTGAAACATTCTAACAGCTGGTACCTCGGTTCCCTCCTCTGGATTCTTGTTCTCTTTCTTACATACTCCTGTCCCTGTTGCTGCTAGTCTGCCTGCCCCATTTTTTATGCTCCAATTCCTTATCCAGCCTGCCATAGTTGCTGCAACAAACTTCGATCCAATCATGAGGCTCCCATAATTTATGTCCCTGCATATTTTACTTCCGTCCTCATGTCCACTTAACCCTCTCCACATATGCATGCCTGTTGATACCGCTCCAATAATTTCCCCTGCGCTACAATTATTCTTAAATAATTCTGCCATGGCCACATTTCCCAGCATACACCTAACATATTGTTCAAACTCCTCATCGCCCTGAAATATACCCTTCCTATCCCACTTTTCTTGAACCATATCTATTCCATCCATGAATAAAAATATGTTTACAATACGCCGGCATACAACGAATTGCGCCATATTGTTCCTCAACGTCCAACGTGGGAATGCTGTTTTACACACGTCCGTGTTGAATTGATCCGTCCTTTTTATACTTCCTGCTAATACTTGGAAAAGCTGTTCAATATCGTTCCATATTGCGCTCTATAAGGGGTAAAGTAGTGAATACAATCCTTATATGAACCTAACGCGCATATTCTCCTATTCCCTCGTGCACTATACACTGCACTGCATTGTACGGTCTTCTTATTCGTTAATCCTGTTTCAGTCAATTCTTACGTTATGTTGCTCCTCATTCCACATATTCCTCCTTTCGAACCATTTCCTAAGGTGCTGTGTGAAATCCGCCACACCGGGTTCACTATGCGCCATGATACTATAATACCCAAATACCAATATTATATCTATATTGGGGACATCTCAAAATCATCCAATCTTCGTAATGCCTGCGGTGTCGAATCAAACTGCCCCAGTCCTATGCATTCCCTTGCAGAATATGATACTGTGGGAAATATTTTCTTTCACATAAATCTACCGTAATCTTCACTTTATCCTTGTTCCAATTTATAAGAACCTAATCCATATTATAGAAAAAAAAAAAAATACCAACAAAAAATTAGTGTGTCCGACGTCACCATCCCCCTTTCTCCCACCCTAGTCCAGAAGTTTGGGTCCCACGGTCCTTGCTCGAAGTTCGCAGGATCCAGAGCCTGGGTTCCGGGTTTAAGTTGTTTGGACCTAGAAGGGAAAGCGCAAGAAAAGAATGGGAAGAGAAGGAACAGAAGGAAAAAAGAGAAAGAAAAAAAAAAAAAAAGAAAGGAAAAAAAAAAAAAAGTACTACTACACTACCGTACACACACAATGCGCCATGAATATACACCCCTCGCCCCCCTTTCTACACCGGTCTCCACTAAACGCCTTGACACACACACTGTCTCTCTGTGTGCGTACACCTAAAAACGAACAACAGCATCAATTTCTGCTGCCGTCGTTGCCGTCGTTGTGGCCTTGCTCCGGTCGTTCGTGCTCCCGCACATAATATGTGTTTTACTTCCTCTCGCCCCTCGCGCGTACTGCTCCCTCTGTGATCCTCACTCGGACAATCTCCGTTTACCCGGCTACTTCGTCGAATGCGTGTTGCACGTGGCTACTTCGTCGAATTCTTCTTAGCGTCGGATACAATCGTGTGTACCCGACCGCTTATGCTCGGCTACTTCGTCGAATCCTTCTTACGCGGCCGCGTTTGCTCGGAGAGACAATCTCTCCTCCGTTCTTACACTCGGCCGAGTTGCTCGGAGACAATTCGGTGTACGCGGACTCGGCAACAACGGCAACAATTGATGTTGTTGTTATACTGCGGTTTTAGGTGTACGCACACAGAGACAGTGTGTGAAGGCGTTTAGTGGAGAAGGGGGAGGAGGGGTGGTATTCATCACGGTGCGTAGTGTTTTCCCTATCTTTTCTTTTTTTTTTTCCTTTTTGTACTTTACTTGGGGAGATTCTTCATATTTGGAAGAGAGACAGAGTCTTCTCTCTATTGTGTAGACGATGCTATTATGAATTTGTACAGTATGCTGTTTTGCTGCTGTTCATTCGCGTCTTTTCCTATGTTTCAGGGGGAATTGGTTCCGAGGACATATTCGTGCAGTACCCTGGGGAGCTGTATATATATGTATTTGCGTAATTTATTGATTACAAATTTATTAGGAGAGAATACATATTTGTAGGTTCTATGTTCCATGCCGATGTTGTTTTTCGTTTACTCGGTTTTCTTCTTGTTGTTGTTTGTGTTAGGAGAATTATTTAGAATACGCTTCAGCTGTGATTTTTGGTGAGTACGTCTTTTTGCGAGCTATTCCGGATTGTTCTTTGATGTGGCAGCAACACATCAGACATTTGTGAGCAGTAAAACTTGTATACGAACAATTCCTCCGTAGTGTGTATGTGACCGACCGCATGCTTTAATTGTGTAAGCTCCCGTAATATGTTATAGCTATCCTTGCATATCCATGTTTTGTGGAAAGTCTTACAGTTAGTGTTGTATTGTACTTCTCACTGCGTGACATGTTGCGGGTGAAGGATATAGCAGGACATTATTTTTCATTCACGAACCAAACACGTGGCACGCGGCTGGCAGGCACCCGGATTAAATGTCATGCATACTGATACCTCTGTATATGGAGGGTACGTCTACTTTATTAATGTATTAGTTCATGCTGCAGACATACATTCGACCGTACGTGGAGTAGTAGAATGGATGCGTTACTGACGGATTTAATCACAGATTGGTTACAGAGAAGGAAAATTTCAAGGCAGGAAGATTTGGATGTAAGTGCTATAATAAATGCGTGGGGGTATACAGGAATGCCCGCAGACTTCGACGGGTATGGGCGTATTGAGCGCATAGACCTATATACACTACAGGACTATATGTGAACATTGGTCTCCGCATCCTCTTTAAACGGCAGAAAGGGATATGGCAGGACATGGGCGATATGTTCAAAGAATTCGTAGGACATATGAATAATGAAGACGACGAAACCTTCAACATGATATGTACGGACGGACGAAGTCGTAATGAAATTACGCAGGCACAAATGCCATTATGCAGGAACATTGTGCGCGTCATATCTTATATGGAAGAGAGATTAAATAGTTCAGAAAGGCAAAGCAGGGAACAAGAAACTGAGAGAGAAATGAAACAGATAATGAGATGTATAATAGGGAAAGTGAATCTGATGGCACTACGGGAGGAATATTGCAGGGAGCAGAGTATGTGGGCATATATAATGAAGATGGCGCAAATGCTGGCTGAGGCATTTGACGGAGCAGCAGGGAGTAAGAGTAAACAGTGTCATGCATGGAATATAAGTGGTTTAAAGGTGGGTGGAAAGAATATAGAAGAAGAAATTAGAACATGGATATCGGAGAGTATGATTCACGCGGGGAAGGGACGTCTAGGGCAGTGTACGCAAGGACAGAGCGCTAGCGGCACGGTAAAACATAGGACTAAACAGGAGATAAAAGTACGAATAGTAGAACGCACGCAGCAATTGCGCAAGAAAATTCAGGAAATTGTAACGAAGGTGGAGAAGGAAACGGCAGACCTAATACCTTCCACGGAACAATCGAATTCACACGGCCCCACAACGCAAGCAGCACATCCAAAGGCTGCAGCATCGCCGGTAACCACACCATCAAAGGAAACGTCAGGTAAGGACCGATGGGAGAAAGCACGAATAAGGCACGAACAAACACGGCTCGATATGGCCCAATATGGATGCCGCCAACAACAACACGCACGCGGAAACGGCGGAACACAACGCGCGGGAAAAACAGCACAGCGCGGCACATCTACCCTGCACCTCTTCGTTGAGTACTTCGTTGACGTTCAGCGGCAGCGGTAGCGGCGACGAGGCACCGGAGACGAGATGACGGCGACAACATAAGCGTAGTGCTACCATCCCATCCCATCCACCTGGTCGCACTCCACATCACCGTACGCTTGCTGCCGCCTGACCCAGTCCACCGAGTACGCAGTCCACGGGGTGGACTCTGCCGCTACCTGACCCAACCGTCCCGCCCCTTCCTTCCTCTGTTTTCTTTCTTCTTTTCTTTTTCTCTCCTTTTTTCCGTCTTCCTTTCTTTTTTCCTCTTATGCCTAATTTTATCCCGTAAGTGTCTTCCAAATAGTTACGGGGAAACGCAAAAGAAAATGAGGACAAAGGGAAAGTTTTTAATGATTTTCTTTTTCCCCTACGAGGGACGCACGTTTCTTACTCTTTTGAGATTTGCTCTTTTCTCTATGTGGAATTTTTTCATTTGGGCTTATTTTATTTTTTTTTTTCTGCTTCAGGAAATCTTTAGGGAGAACAATTTTTCTTTTTTACGCTTAGGACCTAAGGATAATAGTACAGACTTTTTT